TGGCCCTTTAAGTGGGACAAGCGGCGCCTTGGAGTCCCAGGTCGCTGGGTTGTGACGCTGTATGTGGGGGCGTGGTCAGAGCGGGAAATGGCGCGCTGCCGGTGCCGCTTCCGCCGCCCGGCCGGTCCAACCGCCGGGCCGGTCCAACCGCTCACTCCCTCACTCGCGCTTAACCAGGCAACCACAGTCAACTCGTTGCCACCGCCTCCCCACTGTGTCGCTCCCCCGTGGGCTGCTCGGCGGCTCACCAGGTCCAATCCTGGGTTTGGGACCCGTGCGACTGGATTCGCGCGCCCAGTCCGACCGAGCCCTCCTTTGTAAGTCCTCACCCGACGCCGGTTTCGCCCCTTACCGGTCAGGCTGAAGAATTTGTTGTTAGCGGACTTCCAAAAAGTTCAGTTTTCCGTGTTCTGGTTGTGTTTTGTGATGCTAATATTTAGTTGTCCCTAAACTTGGTTGTGAGAGGAGGCAGGCACATCCAGCTAAACCTCCATCTTGGCGGAAGTCCCTATTTTTGAAGTTTTGATCTGTTCTTTCATTTGGGCCATATTTCTTTGTCTTGGTGCACCTGTTACGTTGTAAGGGGGGGACCCTTAGGTATCCGCCAGGGCAAGGCAACCCACATTGCTGTGTTGTGGTGCTATATGTGGAGGAGGGAACAAAGAGGGAACAATGCCACTTGCTTGGCTCTAGGCCAGCCTTCTGTCACTTCTCCTGCTGCCCACAAGCAAATTGGGCCCTTCCGGTGCTGATTCCCAGGTGGGTAGGTTTGTGTACGTTCTAGGACCCTGTGGGTCTCTCCAACAAACTCTCCTGTGAAGCTGGGAATTTCTCTTGCTGCTGCAATTCCCACAGGTTTTTACAGCCAGAGGTTTTGAGGCTTTATTTTTTGTACTGGAACCCTGGGTTGTGTGGTTGGTTGGTCTCCCTACTTGTTTCTCCCAGTTTATCCACACCCAAAGGTGGGACTGCCCAGTCTGCCAGCCCCTACCTTGCCTGCGTCCTCTCCGGCTGCCCATCTGTGCCCCTCCTACCAGTCTGAATGAATGTTTCTGCTTTAACTCCTTGGTCGTTGGATTTCCACACAGTTTGGTTTTCTGGCAGTTCTGCTTATTTATTTATCTTTTATATTTGTTGTTCTTTTGGTCGTGTGAGGAGGCAATACGTATCTACCTCTGCCTCCATGTTGACTGGGAGTCCACATTGATGAGAAATGTAAGGCTGGAGAGGGAGGGAGGTTTGGATTTTAAGTAGGAGCTACGTTAAAATACACTAAGAAAATTAATGGGTGAACCTTGAAGAAATTGCAGTTAAGTGAAATAAAACAGTCACACACACACAAGTACTTATAGGAAGTACTTAGGAATAGAGACAGAAAGTAAAATGATGGTTGTTGATGTGGGGCTGGGGAGGTCACAGAGTTGTTCTTGGGTGCGGTTTCCCTTTTACAAGATGAAGAATTATGGTGATGGATGGTAGTGATGGTTGTACTATGTTCTGAATGTATTTAATACCATAGAACTTTATGCTTAAAAATGGTTAAGATGGTAAATTTTATATATACCACGATAAAAAAAAAACTGGAAAAATTGGGGGCTGGGAGGATCAGCTAATGGGGTGGTAAAGGTTGGAAACAGGAGAGGGAGAGTCGATGGAGCAAATCCTCAAAAGCCACAGGAGAGGAGATTTGGTGCACGTAGAGAAATGTAGACGGTAGGGATACTTCTCCCATTTGTAACACACGGAGAGGGGAGAGCTGTGCTTGGAGGTAGGTCTGGTGGTGGAAGGTTGAGGCTGTTGCCTTGTGTTGATTGTACTTGGATTTGGGAAATTCCTTGCTTAAAATTGAGGGAGATAACAGGGCTGGAAGTTGGAGGCAAGACTTGAAATGGTCCCTGGACAGAGTGGGGGAGTTAACCAGAAAGGAGCCATGATTCATGACTGCAGCTTTTTCTGAAGTTGTCCCCTTCATTGATGCTAGCTATGAAATCAGATAAATAGAATGGTATTTAACTTGTCCCTCTCGCACAGCCCTGCTTGCTCCAGAAATAACAAAGTGGTCCTGAAATACTGAAAGCTGTGTTGTTGCTTAAGCTGGGCTCAAATGGCATTGGTTCATTAGGACGACTTCTGTGCAGTTAGGTGTCGGCATCCGAGAGGAACACAGGCCAGATAACAATACACCTAGCGCACAGCCACACAACCTGACCAGGGACTAACTCATGTCCTTTCAGGTCTAAATTTGGAGTCATTTGCTTTCAGGGATAGAACCTAAGACTGCTTGGCTCTTCTTCAACTGGAGAATTCCAAGGACTGGAAGCATATGGATGAGGATACAACAGAACAGTTGTAAACACTCGCAAAATGTGTGCTAGTGCTTTCAGGAGAGTTCCATCTAAACACCCCACCCCCACACCCACCCACCCATTTCCTCTGGGAAAAAGAAATGGCTGTAGTGCTGGGCAGTAAGGCTAAAGGTCTGCCGTCCAACCACATCTGCCCGTTAGATATTGATAAAGCAGGGGCTGAAGTATCTCAGCGGGGCAGCTGACATGCCATCAGCCACCACTGTCAGGCTTTGTTTAATATTCCTTCCTTCACCTACTCCTGTACCCCATTTTACTTTTAGAATTACTGTGTGATTAGAACTACTATGGAGAATCTTCTTGCTGTGCTGAGTGCTAATATCAGAACAGTTTCTAAGGCAGGGCAGAAGTATCCAACAGCAGGAGCTGGAGAGAGAGGGCGTAAGGTAGGCAGGTGACAAACAGCCTCCAAGCAGACCCCCACCACCGCTCACTTCCCACTAGATGGGTTTTTAAAATAATAATTTAAAAAAAATTGATTTGAGAAACATTGCTTTGTTGTTCCCTTATGTATTCATTGGTAGTTTCTATTTTAAAAATTTTTTAAGATTTTATTTATTTATTTTTAGAGAGAGGGGAAATAAGGAAACATCAATGTGTGGTTGCCTCTCACACACCCCCTACTGGGGACCTGGCCTGAAACCAGGCCTGTGCTTTGACTGGGAATTGAACCAGGGACCCTTTGGTTCGTGGGTCAGTGCTCAATTTACTAAGCCACACCAGCCAGGGCTGGTTGTTTCTTGTTATGTGCCCTGACCAGGGATCAAACCCACAACTTTGGAACAATGTTCTAACTGAGCTAGCCAGCCAGGGCTCCTACTAGGTGTTTGAAGCTAATCCAGGGAAGCCCTGTCCCAGGTTCAGAGTTAGGGTACTGGAGCCTTCCAGCATTAGCCCCTCGGGTTCCTTATCCTTCATTATATCGTTTTTTGGAATGCTGCAGTCTGAGTCCATCAACAGAATAGGGAACATTTATTCTCAATCAGAAAAGCAAAGTCAGGTAAAACTGCAGGGGTTCCTAAGAACCTGATATCTGTATCTGGGACCAGGAGAAACTGAAGAGGGTCCCTGAAATCTACAACTTGGGTGGGTGATGAAGGAGCAGAGCCAGTCCCTTCCTGCTGAATGAGTGAGTCTCTTACACATCATACAGGCTGTGTAGGAAGCTCAGTCATGACGTCACCTGTTCTTTCCAAACTTTCCCTTTGGGTTTCTCCTCAGAATTATTTTGTATAGTACATGTAACTATTGAGTGACAGATTCTCTTTGGAATTATAATAAATAGATTTTCTGAAAAGCCTGCCATTCTTCCCCTATAATATCCTTCTAGTCCATTTCTTCTGCATTCTGAATACAACCAGTGACATTCTGGCACTTGCTGTGTGGTGGGGCTGATGGAATCATCTTCTCACTGGTTTCTCAAACACCAGCCTTTTCCAGCTCCAGTATATCCTGTAGACCTCTGCTAGACCAATTTTCCTACCCCCACACCCTAAAAAACGCTGTAATCACGTCCTGTCTTTTAAGAATCTATGATAATTTACTGATAAATCCAAGTCCCGTTCAATCATATCTCCATTTTCTACCTAACAAGTCTTTTCTCTGTCCACACGGCTAGACTGCTCACCTTATTGCCCTTCCTGTATACTGTGTTTATCCTGGGGAAGCCTTGGTAGGGTCAGTCTGCCTAAAGTACTCGTCTTGTCACTTGAAATCCCACTTTTCTCTGATAAGCAAACTCCACTCCTTTATGAATCTTCTTTAACCTCAAACATCTTTACCTTCTAAATATCAATGGCACTTTGAATGAAATGGCCTTCAAGTTACATAATAAACAAGAGCTGTGGACAACAGAGGGAGAATACCTTTCTGAGTCCTATTTTTATTCCTAGGAGGACTAGAAAAGTAGAATGTAAGGACTCACATTACCATATTTTGCCATGTATAATGTACACCCATGTTTTTGGCCCAAACTTTCAAGAAAAAAAATTTTTCAGTTTAAATTTTTGATTATTTATTTATTTATATTTAGATATTTGTTGTATTATAAAGACATTTTATCATTTATTTTTGAACATACAGATATCATTACTGCTTCTAGAGTTACTTTTAATGCTTAAGCATAAACAAAATAATTAAAACCATTTATATAGATATCTATTTTTATAGATTAAAACATTTATATAGTTCTTCTACCCATGGAAAACGTACATCATTTTTCCCTCAAAAATTTGGGCAAAAAGTACACATTATACATGGGAAAATAGGGTAGTTAGCCAGCATCCTCTGGTTTACCAGCAGGAAAAAGGAAATATGAACACCCCTCTGGCAACTGACTAGGGCCCTTGGCGTATGCATCCATCCCAGCTATTCATGTCGGAGTGTCAACTTTGACATGGAACAGTAATATAAGGTGATGAGTAGCTTATGGAATAATATGTGAGTCTTCATATTATGTAATAATCATATTGGTAATATGGTTACTAATATCAGCAACCAAAACATGCTGTTTCCTTCTTATAGTCAATAATATCTTAGTAACATGAATAGGTCACTATTGTTAGTGTTAGTAAAGAATACATCAACAGTTGATTAGTTATTATGCATACAGCCAATGAACACTCAAAAACCCAATAAAATCCATTGTTTATGTATATGGATAATAAACATATCCAGAATCTTTCTTTGGACTGAAATCTCCTTTTCCCAAGTGAATTCTGTGTTCGAGGGCACAGTTTCTCATTGCATATATAGGAACTTACTAAAAACAGCAGAAGAAACTCTGGGGCCTGAAGTTCACCGAGCGCTCAATACGTTTTACATCACCGACGTCTCAGAACTAGACATGTCAGAGGCCGTTGAGGTCCATTGAGCCCTAGGGGCCAGCACTGGAGGCAAAGAACATGGACTGCAGCGACACTGCGGACACATTCCAGAGCCATGCATAACAGTGAGTCTTACCTTTCTAAAGCACACACACTCCTTTGGGAGTTTCTCCCCAGGAAGATGCATTTAAACTCAAAGTACTGCTTATGCTTCAGACTCCACAAAACCCACCCAGTGAATTCTGTGGGGTCCAATCCCCCAGATTAAGAACTGGTGATCTAGATTTCTGCCAGATGCCCATTTCCTCCTACTATTGAGAAGACTGGGGCACTGCCTTCCCATTTTCCTGCCCAGCTTTAGGGCTACTCAGTAGATGGGTTTTATGTGTTGTGAGGTGTGGGTATGCTTGGCCTGCAGCCTTGTGAGGAGTTTATAGTCCTTTAATTATTGCCTTCGTTTCTCTTTATTTCAGGGTAGGTCCATAGGACTTTGAGAGTGGGGCAGTTAAATTTCTTCTAAGATTCCCAAAGTTGGTCAGAGTTGGCCAAAAGCATAGAGACTAGTGCCCAGTGGAGGACCGGCGGATGGTCAGTCTCTGTGGTATCTGTAATGTTAGATTAAGGTAACTGCCCGGAAGCTGGTAGTGGCCCCTTCCTTTCCTAGGAGAGATCTAACCCTAAAACACAGAAACACAAGGAAGGTCTGGGACTGTAGTAGTTCTCATCACAGAAAACCCCTCTTCCAAGCCTGGTCCTAGGGGAAGTGGCCATTCTGTATCAAAGTCTAAGAACAGGACTCCTTTTGGCTGGGGTTGCATATTGTTTTTGCACCTCAGTCTCATCTTTGCACTGTCACCTCATGGATACCAATAGTCTTGTCCAGGTATGAAGGAATGTCCATTGCTATTATTTGCTCTAACTGCTCTGCACAAAGATGCCGAGTAAGGAAGGATGGAGTAAAGGTCTTGGCAGTTACTCCTGCCTTGCACAGATGAGTGGCGGTAGTCCACCTAGTCCCTCACTTGCACTTGTTTGTATTCCAAGCACTAACCACAAATGGTCAGTATCCCTTTACAGTCAAGATGCCAAATATTGGAACTCATTCCCCAGCTCTTACAAAACTTGCCTTCTGGGATCTGAAAACAAAGCAAGCACTTGTGACTACTGCAGATTACTTCCAAGGCTGCCTTGAAGCTGGCCCTTTGTGACTTGAAACTAGTTTTCACGATGATCCAAACCTCAGATCACCTTTTATTTGGTTGGGGCTACAAAGAGGTTAAGGTGATGGTAGGGATGTAAAAAAGATGAGCAGGTGCCTGCAAGACCAGGTTTTATGGCAAGCTAGAGCCAGCACTAATTCTCCACAATGACTTCTTCATAGGACTCTGTCACCCACAAGCAAGGGAACCACCAGTAATCAGATGTGCACTGCACACAGGTTGCTTATACGGGGTACGGTCCTGTGACACAAACCTGTGTGTGCTAAAGATCCCCGGTTGGCATTTGGTCCATGCTTAGCAGATCCCTTTCTGCTGTGGGCATCAGGACAGAGTGCGCTAACACCACTCAGAATCCAAGGCAGCAGCTCATAGGTCTCTGCCGCCTCACACCTTACTCCAAACACGGTGGGTGGCTTACACACCTATCCTAGTTGGGCCTGTGTTCCCTCTTCACCTCTATTCTGTCACTTCCACTAGGGCCCAAGGACAGGCAGGGGCAGCCAGATAGCTCCTGAGCAAGTGATTAGCCACAGGATCTAGATTAGTGTAACAGTGGGGAAAACACTGGCCAAAAAAAAAAAGACAATTTCCAAAAGGTAAATTTCTGTGTATTCACGCCTAATCTTCAAAAGTTGCGTCAACAATTGTTTCTACCTTCCCCCATCATTTGCACAATTTCTGTTGAGTCCAAACGTAATTTAAAATGAGGTAGGTAGTTTCTCTCTACATGTGCCTTCGTCTTCACGGTGACGGTTGAGGCCTCTATGTGAAAGCACTGGTCTGCCATGTGGGGGAGCGCCAAGGATGGGCACCGGGGACCGGTGGAGCTTCTCAGTTGGCTATTTTCTCAATCTCGTCCAAATCGTCTGTGTCCAACTTTTCTATTTTCTTATCTGAGGAAAAAGATTCCAAGAGAAATCAATAAGGGGTTACTGTGGAGACACACACCTAGGGGAGGGAGCCAGCAGGGAGAGAAACACAGGTCTCCACCCTGGCCAGGAGCCAGCCCTGCCTCTGGCCACAACCATCCTTCCTTTGACCCAAAAGGCTTCTGGTACCTGAGGAACAGGTACTGACAGCAACAGTCAGAGCCCAAGGCCCCTCAGCCTGGACGGGGGGGGGGACTGTCGTTCTAGTCCCTGATGCTGAACTCCCCAGGTGTGCTCCCTGAGAACATCCATATTCTAGGGAAGGAAGGGAATGTGGACGGGGGCAAAGCCTCTTTGGGGGGTCACAGGAAAACCTACCCGACCCGCACCCTCGCATGTGCCCCTATAAGGAGAGGACCCTGGCAGAGGACACTCCCAGGGACTCACTGAAATGCTCCTGGATTCTGTTGAGGATGTTCATGCTGTGCTTGCTGTCCACCATGTTCACAGCCAGGCCCCTCTTGCCAAAGCGGCCAGTGCGCCCGATGCGGTGCAGGTAGGTCTCGTTGTCCGGGTTCCCATCCTTGTCCACTGGAAGGTCGAAGTTGATGACAACAGACACCTGCTCAACGTCGATGCCTGCACGAAGGAGAGGTGGGGAACTGTTAAGGGTGGGAGAGGACAAGCCCCTGTCATTTGCCCACAGTTGGGCCACATACACCAAGGTTGGGTGGAAGGAGTCTGGGTGGGCCGGCTCTGGGATCCGGGGGACAAGGGCTCGCAGCAGAACCCAGAGGAAACCACAGGGCTCTGGCAGGGGCTGACAAGATTACGAAGTCACTGGGAGAGTCTCTGCTGGACGCAAGTGTCTAGAGATGCAGCTAAAACCTCAGTGGCTGCCCCAACAGGAGCAGGTGTTGTGCTAAACCAGTCAGATGCCTGCACTTTCCTTCCACCAGGCCAGGACTCCGGGCTTCTGTGCAAGTTCTCTTCTGCTGAGGGAGTCCAGTCTCTCCCAGAAAAAAGAGTCACCACCAACCCACCCGATCTTTTCCAAACCATCTGAGATTTTCACTTATGAGGACTTCCCTCGCTGCCCCGAGTGTGGCAGACCAGGACAGGACAAGGTCTCTGCTCACCGCGGGCACACACGTTGGTGGTCACCAGCACCTTCTCTTTGCCCTCTCGGAAGCGCTCGATCACGGCAGCCCTCTGCTCCACCATCATTTCACCGCTCAGCAGAGCCACCTGGTGGCCTTCTTTTGAGAGCTCTGCTGCCAGCCAACTGGCTGTTTTGCGGGTCTGGAGTAAAAAGAATTGTTTTAAATGGAGATACCTTTAAAAAAAAATGAAAGAACCTGCAGAAAAGTGGCTTTTTCCCATTCATATAGATGAAGGCCCTTCTACATTCCACCAGCACGTTAGGCTTAAATTTTTCAAATAGAACTTTAGCCACATGATTGTTTTTGGATGAATTACTTAAATGATCTTAGTGTTCATCTAGGGAAAATGTGGTTTCAACCAAAAGTTTTCACACCTAAAATGTCTATATTCTTTGTTTTAACACGATTTCACTAGATTTTAAAAGTAAGGTCCAACTATATATATGCTGACTATAAGAGTATCATTTTTTAAAAAGATTTTACTTATTTTTAGAAAGGGGAAGGGAGGGAGAGAGGGATAGAAGAAGCAGTGTGTGGTTGCCTCTTGCACGCCCCCTACTGGGGACCTGGCCTGCAATCCAGGCATGTGCTCTGACTGAGAATCGAAACTGTCGACCCTTTGGTTTGCAGGTCAGTGCTCAATGCACTGAGCCATACCAGCCAGGGCAGAGAACAAATTTTTAAAAGAGTTTACTTATTTATTTTTAGAAAGAGGGGAAGGGAAGGAGAAAAAATGAAAGGGAGAGAAACAATCAGTTGCCTCTCACATGCACCCAACTGGGGACCTGGCCTGCAACCCAAGCATGAGCCTTGATAGAGAATTGAAACACTGACCTTTTGGCCAAGCTCATACCACTGAGACATACCATCTAGGGCTATTGCACTGGATTTTATTTGGAATTTCTTTTCCAAGTTATCTCTAAGAAGTAGGATCAAAGAAGCTTCAGATTTTTAGTCTTCCCTTGTAATTAACTCCTCATAGGATGAGGATAATATGCCCTGGGGCATGAGGAAATGATTCACTTCATTTGTAGTCCCAGAGAGGGAGTCTGGTCCCCCACCACACTCAGGTGGAGCTGGCCGAGAGACAGGGCCTGGGCAACACCTCCCCAGGGAGCCCCTCCCCAGGCAGGCCAGCCCCCGCTGCTCCTCCTCTGCTGCTACTCACATGGCAGAAGATCATGGCTTGAGCAATGGTGATGGCCCCGTAGAGGTTACACAAGGCCTGGAACTTCTCATCTCTGTTATTGCACAGGACGTAGTACTGCTTGATGGTGTCCAGTGTCTCCTCCTCACGCTTCAGTTTGATAATGTTGGGGTCTGGGACCACTTTCTGGGCAAAGTTCCACACAGAGTCTTCGAAGGTGGCAGAGAAAAGCAGCATCTGGCAGTTCCTGGGCAGCATCCTGCAAGGCAAGGCCCAGGTATTTGGCATGACCCTGAGTTTATCACTGGAACCCACACAAGCACGGCCTCCCCAGGCTTGGGTGGTCTGCGTCCCCAGGAAGATGGTAGAGGTGGAGAAGCACTGTGGGGCAGAGGCGGGAGCAGATGTGGGGCAGGGACAAAGTGGTGTCAGATTCCCTAAGTCCCTTCCTTCCCTCAGCCCAGGCTGGGAGAATGGTCGGTGCTGACAGGGCCCATCAGGCACGTGCTTCTGAAGCTTCTGAAGCAAAGAACCCAGCAGAAGACTGAAGAGGGGCTGGTATCACAGGACGAGACACAAAGAGGAAGATTTTTACTCGTGGATCAGGAGGCCGAGAAGTTCCTCCCAGATCCAGAATCCTACCTTTGGATGCGGATGCTCTGATCTTGATGGCCCTGAGTAGCTATCATCACATCGGCCTCATCCAGAACAAACACCTTGATCTTCTTGGGGTCAATGAACTTGAGCTTGGCGCACCAGTCCAGAACAGTTCCAGGGGTGCCAATGACAATCTGCTCACTGATCTTCTGACCTCTTTCCACTGTAGAGATAAGGTATTTTTCATGGGTATGTCCATGGCAAACCTAGCTCTCCTCTCTGAGAAATTCTAAAGCTATGATGTATTTTTTAAAATATTTTATTTATTGATTTTTAGAGAGAGGGGAAGGGAGGGAGAAAGAAAGGGAGAGAAAAATGATATGAGAGAGAAACATTGATGACTGCCTCTTGCATGTCCGTAGTCAGGGACCTGGCCCACAACCCAAGCATGGCTCTCACCACGAATTGAATCAGTCACCTTTCAGTTTGTGGGATGATTCCCAACCCGCTGAGCCACACAAAGCAGGGTCTATGATATACATATTTTAATGTAACTGTTTTGACATTTGCATGAGTATTTTAAGGAGAGGTTAGCATATCATTAGAGTATTTTTATGGACACACACTAAAAAAGACCATAATGCTTGAAAGATACAGTAAGAATGTAAACAATGAGAAGATTAAAAAACTTCAGTGGTGTTCTTTTTCATTCTATCTTCTCTTTCTAAGTTCTGTTATCTTTACTTTTTTTCTGTGAACATTGTTATTCCTACACCATGATTGCATTTCCTCACAAGTAGACTTTTTCAAAGTTCTTCTCACTCTAGTGCACTTTGCCCCTCAGCTCTCCCAGTATCTGTACCAAATAAGTCAGGCACCTTTACATACCCCATGCCAGGGTCAGTAAATAGGGTTCTTTAGAAAAGGCTTTGTTTTTTCAAACACAATCTGTCTCTCTTAAAGTGCTTCACAGAGTAGGCCTGGCAGACCACGGCAGATCTTGGTCCTGCACAGTCTGGAATCGAGAATTTGGTTCTTCATTTTCAATTAGATTGTACTTATTGATTCAAAGTTTAATATTTCATTTGTACTCTTGACCAGACATATACAAGTTTCCTCTAGTCACAGCCAAAATTTTACACAAATGTGAATGCTGAGTCAATTCAAAGCTAACAAATGCTTTCTTCTTATTTCAGTTAACAAACAGCCCTGGCTGGTGTGGCTCACTGGATTGAGCACTGGCCTGCCAACCAAAGGGTCCCTAGTTCAATTCCCAGTCAGGGCACATGCCTGGGTTACAGGCCAGGCCCCTAGTAGTGGGTGTGCAAGAGGCAACCACACATTGATGTTTCTCTCCCTGTTTACCTCTCTAAAAATAATAAATAAATAAAATTGAAAAAAAAAGTTGCTGCCCCCGCCATAAAATAGTATTCCGATTTTTCTGTCATTTGAACTCATCCAAAGTACAGTATTTTAAAGATCTTATGATAATTTTTCACTAAGTCTTATCTTACGTTTCTCCTCAGAACTGACTTTCATGGTAGGACATTGTATGCAGAGTAGATTTCTGCAAGTCATAAAGTCACAGTTTACTGTGAAAGATCCATAGGACTCAACTAAACCTTAAAGAAAATGTTGTTTTAGATATTTTATTTATTTATTTTTATACAGAGGGAAGGGAGAGAGAAAGAGAGGCAGAGAAACATCAATGTGTGGTTGCCTCTCACACACCCCCTACTGGGAACCTGGCCTGCAACCCAGGCAAGCGCCCTGACTAGGAATCGAACTGGCGACCCATTGGTTCGCAGTCGACACACACTGAGCCACACCAGCCAGGACATAAAATTTTAATTACTTAAATATTATCAGTTGTAAAACAAAAGTAGAAAATATGGATAAAGAAAAAAGAATAAAATACGTCAAGGTTATAGGTTCAATCTTCAGTCAGGGCACATACAAGAAGCAACCAATGAATGCATAAACAAGTGGAACAACAAACTGATATTTCTCTTTCTCTCATCCCTTCCCCTGTCTCTCTCTCTCTGAAGTCAATACATTAAAAAAAAAAAAAGCTCTCAGTTAATTGCCATGAACATTCTAGAACATTTTTGTTCTTCTAATGACATTAAAAAGAAATTAGGCAATTAGATAAATCCAGAATTTGGAACATTTTATGAGCAAAAAGTTGTATTCAAAAAGTCAAATGTAGGGGGACTGTGAGGGGACTAGCCTAGATTGAAAGAAATTAAGGAGATAGAATAACCAAATAAATGCAGTGCTACATTGACTCAATCATGGTTCAAAAAAAAACCATAAAGAAACACTTTGTGTATAATTGGGGAAAAATGAAAATGACTAGTGTTTGTTATTTGAGAATCTGTTAGTTTTCTTGGTTGTGGTAAGAGTATTGTGGGTATGCTGAAGAATGTCCTCATAATGAATCGCACACTAAAGTATTAGGAATAAAAAGTCACAATGTCTGGATTTACTTTCAAATGGCTCATCAGAAATATCTATATCCATATCTATCTGTATACAAAAAGGAATATGGCAAAATGTTAAGTTTTCAAATCTAGGTGGAGAGCTCATGTGTTCGTTGTACTATTTCAACACTGCATAACATTTTTCAAAATAAATAGAAGTTATTAGCTTAAATAAATTAGGATCACCTATTCATACTCACATTTATTGCCTCGAACAGCATAAGCTAGCTTCAGTTCAGGGTAAAATTTGCCCATCTGCTCAATTACTTTTCCCGTTTGGAGGGCAAGCTCATACGTCGGGGAGAGGCACAGACACTGGTAGGAAGAGGGCAGAGTGAGAATGCAAGACAGTAGCTCTTTTGCAGTGGGGATTGAGTTTAGTCTTCCAGCTAAGGCTAAAGGAAAAAATATATATAAAGCGTACACTATTTGATTCTTTAAACTGTAAAACCATACTTTAGAATTCTCTGAGGGTAGAACTCCAGCTGGATAAAAACACTGGAAAACAGTTACTGGCCAGTGCAGTTCCAAAACCTACAAGTGAGTAAGAATCTGATACTCAAATTGGAGACTAGCTTCCTTTTCACTTTCTCATAAAGTTCTCAACTTTCTAATGAATGAATAGTTGTAGTTGAAAGAGGTTTTTCCTGTAAGTAAAGGAGCCAAGCATACCAGCAGTATCCTGGAACTGGCAAACCACAGAAGGTAACAGGATTTTTTTGTTACTAAATCAACTATGTTGTTTGTGCCCAACTTAAGGGGCCCTAGTTTATGTAAAAAGTAATACAAGACATGGCTTTTAATCCATCAAATGGCCTTTTACTTCTAGATGTGTGTTAGCAGAAAAACCAAATTCACCACACCCTTACCTGTGGGTATCTGTTTGCAGCTTCTACATGGCTGAGCATGGCCAACACAAAGGCAGCTGTTTTACCAGTACCAGATTGAGACTGGGCAATTAAGTTCTGTGGGCTGCACGAGAAAACAAACTGTTTAGGGGCTCAAATCTCAACTATCCTTTCAGTTAATAAAAATGAAGAATACTGAGAATAGCTGGTATAGCTCAGTGGATTGAGTGCTGGCTTGCGTACCAAAGGGTGGCTGGTTCAATTCCCAGTCAAGGCACATGCCTGGGTTGCAGGCCAGGTCCCTAGTTGGGGGCATGCAAGAGACAACCACACACTGATGTTTCTCTTACTCTCTTTCTCCTTCCCCTCACTCTAAAAATAAATTAAATAAATCTTTAAAAAAAAACAAAAATTTTTTTTTTTTTAGAAAATGAAGAATATAGGCAGGAGAGAGGTATAAGGGGACTATATGGTAATGGAAGAATATAATAAAGATTTTTTTAAAGAATAAAGCTTTATTAAAGAATGAATAATCAACCCCGGCTGATGTGGCCTAGTGTACTGAGTGCCAGCCTACAAACCAAAAGGTCCCCATGCGAGAAGCAACTGGTCTCACACATTGATGTTTCTGTCACTTTCTTCCTCCCTTCCCTTCTCTCTAAAATTAAGTACATAAAATCCTTAAAGAAAGAGGAAAAAAAACTGAGTAATCAAAATTAATTGGATTCTGTAGCAGTTATATGTGCTAGCTTCAAAAATACAGAGCACTATAGAGAAAAGATTTTATGGTGGAATACTTTTACAAATATCTTTTTTATTTTTTAAAGATTTTTTTAAACTTTTTTTATTGATTATGCCATTACATTTGTTCTATTCCCCCCTCCATTCCCCTCCACCCTGCATACCCCTCCCCCACCATTTCCCCCTTTAGTTCATGAACATGTGTCTCAAATTCTTTAGATTCTGTATTTCCCCTACTATTCTTGCCCTCCCCCCGTCTATTTTCTATCTACTGTCTGTGCTACTTATTTTCTGTACCTTCTCCCCCCTTCTCCTCCTCCCACTCCCCTGTTACTAACCCTTCTTGAGATCTTCATTTCTATGGTTCCACTCCTGATCTAGCTGTCCTCTTAGTATGCTTTTGTTTTAGGTGTGGTTGCTAATAACTGTGAGTTTGCTGTCCTTTCACTGTTCATATTTTTTATCTTCTTTTTCTTAGGTAAGTCCCTTTAACATTTCATATAATAAGGGCTTGGTGATGATGAACTCCTTGAATTTGGTCTTATCTGAGAAGCACTTTATCTGTCCTTCCATTCTAAATGAAAACTTTGCTGGATAGAGCAATCTTGGTTGTAGGTCTTTGGTTTTCATGACTTGGAATACTCTTTCCAGCCCCTTCTTGCCTGTTAAAGATTTTATTTATCTATTTTCAGAGAGAGGGGAAGGGAGGGAGAAAGAGATAAACATCAATGTGTGGTTGCCTCTCACGTGGCCCCCACTGGGGACCTGGCCCGCAACCCAGGCATGTGCCCTGACTGGGAATCAAACTCGTGACCCTTTGGTTCTCAGGCCAGCACTCAATCCACTGAGCTACACCAGCCAGGGGTAAAGTGTTATCTTTTATCTAGCCTTGAGACAGCAGCCAGAGAGTCTTTTAAAATGTGAGTCGGCTCACATCAGTTCTCTCCTTGTAAACCTTCCAATCAGTCCCGATTTCATTCAGTAAAGTTGAAATCATCATAATACCCTTGTGGGGGCAAAGAAAATAATTTGCCTTCCACCTTCTAAGTTCTGCTAGCTGGGCTGATAATCAAGTTAATACGAGGCAAGATTATGGTTAACAGGAGAGAATGTCCAAATGCATTTATGGATGTATATTTGGGGGTGTCATAAGAATATGGGACCTGAAGATGCACCGGGCAGTTTAGGTTTACATGCCATTTTGAACAAAGGAAGTGGGGGAAGGGTCTGGGATTTCAAAGAAAAAGTTGGGAATCTATAGAAAGATGAGAAACAGCAGACATGGTAAACGTTCTGGCTGCCCGACCCAGAAACAATGGGACACAGAAGGAGGTTCAACAAACAGGCTTTGCTAAAGTTCCTCCCCATCTGCCACACCTAGTTTATATTCCGAAGCTGTGGTGTGTCCTTCCTCTAAGCAGGTTGTTCTATTTCAAATCCATCAGGCAAGTAAGTGGGGAGAGTCAAAGGTTCTTTCTGAGTCTTTTATTTCTTTTATCTTTTAAAAAAGATTTTATTCCTTTCTTTAGAGAGAGGGGAAGAGAGGGCAAAGAGAGAGAGAAACCTGGATGTGCAAGAGACACATCAATCAGCCGCATCTCACATGCTCCCTGAGTAGGGACCTGGCCTACAACCCAGGCATGTGCCCTGACTGGGAATCGAACTGATGACCTTTCACTTCATAGGCTGGCACCCAGTCCTCTGAGCCACACCAGGCAGGGCTCTGAGTCTTTTGTTTCTTAATGACCAGCTTAAAATTAATACTCTAAAGGGTATATTTTGAGCTGGCAAAACTTTGGTCCCTCTCACCCTACAAGGTCCTGCCCTGGCTCCCCATTACCTCTCTGCTCTTACCTCCTACTACCCTTTCCCATGCTCCACCCCGCCACAGTGGCCCCAGTGCTGCTCTGAGAACAAGCCAGCCATGCTCCTGTCTTAGGGCTTCTGCATCAGCTATACTCTGCTGTGACAATAGTCTTTAGACAACAACATGTCAACTCTTTCCTCTCCTCAAGTCTTTGCATTGCCTACTCGATGAGATCCTACCCTATGCACTGATTTAAAACTGCAACCTACTTTAACGTACCTTAACAAACAAGATATATTGGTAGAAAGGTATGTTATGAATTATAGCAGTAAAATGTTATTGGTAGATTCTAGGTGATGGGTATGTGGGTGTTCACTATAAAAGTTTTCAACTTTGTTGTATGGTAGAAAATTTTCATAATAAAACTGCTATCAGTGTTCCTGGCCAGGTAGCTCAGTTGGTTAGAGTGTTGTCCCCGATACACCAAGATTGTGGGTTTGATCCCCAGTCAGGACACATATAAGAAGCAACCAATGAATACAGAAATAAGATGAAGAACAAATCAATCTCTCTCTCTCTCTAAAAACAACACCTGGAAGCTTATTAGTAATGGTGAACCTCCATCCCCACCTCAAGTCTACTGAAATGAGAAATTTTGCATTTTAATAAATTCCTAGGAGAATCATATGCTATGAAAAGTGTGAGAAGCACTATACCTTTGTATAGAAAGAAAACAACCTTAGTAATTGTACTATCTGGTCTCCTAGAACACTGTTTGCTTTTACCTAGTATATTTGACACAATAAAATTTTTTAAATTTTTTATTAAATCCTCACTCAAGGATATGCTTACTGATTTTTAGAGAGAGAGGAAGTGAGAGAGAGAGACATTGATCAGATGCCTTGCCTCTTCTGCACGTTCCTCAACCAGGGATTGAACCCAAGACTTCTCGGTTTACAGGACAATGCTCCAACCAACTCAGCCACACTAGCTAGGCCTAACACACTAAATTTACTTTCCATATAATAAAATTATGGTGTATATGAATTATATAAATGTATACTTACCAACATGGAAAGATGATCTTATAAAATTTTCAAAAGCATATAAAATTTTTATATCCATTCAAAAAAATATATTATAGCCCTGGGTGGTGTGGCTCAGTGGCTTGAGTGCTGACCTACAAACCAAAGGGTCGCTGGTTCAATTCCCAGTCAGAGCACATGCCTGGGTTGTGGGCCAAGACCTCAGTAGCAGGTGCACAAGAGGCAACCACATACTGAGTTTCCCTCTCTTTCTCCCTCCCTTCTCCTCTAAAACTAAATAAATGAAAAAAAATTAAGATAAAAATACGTATTTTATATATACACACATATGTAAGTCTATATAGAAAAGAGTCTAGAAGGCTCTATTCTAAGTATTAATAGTATGTGGTGGAGGGAAATTACAAATTATTTTTTTCTTATTTTTCATTTTATAACATGTTTTTCTAAAATGAACATGTATTACTACTAATAATAAGTTTTCAAAAGTAGAAAATTATAAATGAGATAGGGTATGTCAGGATACATACGGCTCAGCAAGCATCAAAGGCAGTGCGTTCTCTTGTATCTTGGATGGACGGTTGAAGCCCATGGCATAGACTCCCTGAAGCAGCTGTGGTTTCCTAGGAACGCAGTTAATGATGCAAGTCAATCTCTTTGGTTGAGGAAAGAAACCAAGTATGTGGGGGATTATTTCCTCTTTTGAACTGCCATTACCCACAACTTATAACTAACAATACTCAAACTATGCTGAACTGAGCCCAGTGGTTAAGTGCAGATAAAATTTTTATTGATTACCTTGAAAATTTACTTAATTGCTCAAAGCAGCTAAATTTTTGAAAAGATTGAACTTGTGTTAGCTAAAAATATTCTATTGTGATGAAAAAATATATATAACAGGCCTAGGATTTCTTTTTCTTTTTTTTTTCAAGTTCTTTAGATTCTATATTTCCCATACTATTCTTGCCCCCCCCATCTATTTTCTATCTACCATCTATGCTACTTATTTTCTGTACCTTCTCCCCCCTTCTCCTTCTCCCACTCCCCTGTTGCTAACCCTCCTTGAGATCTTCATTTCTATGTTTCCACTCCTGATCTAGCTGTCCTTAGTTTGCTTTTGTTTTAGGTGTGCTTGTTAATAACTGTGAGTTTGCTGTCCTTTCACTGTTCATCTTTTTTATCTTCTTTTTCTTAGGTAAGTCCCTTTACCATTTCATATAGTAAGGGCTTGGTGATGATGAACTCCTTGAATTTGATCTTATCTGAGAAGCACTTTATCTGTCCTTCCATTCTAAATGAAAGTTTTGCTGGATAGAGCAATCTTGGTTGTAGGTCTTTGGATTTCATGACTTGGAATACCTCTTCCAGCCCCTTCTTGCCTGTAAGGTCTCTTTTGAGAAATCAGCTGACAGTCTGATGGGAACTCCTTTGTAGGTGACTGTCCCCTTAGCTCTTGCTGCTTCTAGGATTCTCTCCTTCATTTTAATCTTGGCTAATGTAATGATGATGTGCCTTGGTGTGTTTCTTCTTGGGTCCAACTTCTTTGGGACTCTCTGAGCTTCCTGAATTTCCTGGAAGTCTATTTCCTTTGCCAGATTGGGGAAATTCTTTATTATTTGTTCAAATAAGTTTTCCACTGGTGGCTGTTCCTTTCCCCCTTCTGGTACCCCTAGAATTTGGATGTTGGAGCGTTTAAAGATGTCCTGGAGGTTCCTAAGACTCTCCTCATTTCTTTGAATTCTTGCTTCTTGACTCTTTTCTGTTTGGCCATTATTTGCTTTCTTCTGGTCCACTCCATTGATTTGAGTCCCAGTTTCCTTTCCATCACTATTGGTTTCCTGTGCAATTCCATTCATTTCAATTAGTTTCACCTTCATATGTTTGTCTAATTCGTGGCTATAATCAACCAGTTCTGTGAGGATCCTGATCACCAGTGTTTTAAACTGTGCGTCTGAGAGTTTTGCTATTTCTTCATCACTTAGATTTATAGGCTCTGGGGCTTTGAGATCTTCTTGAGCCATTTTTGGTCTGTTCGGGCCCTTTAAGTGTGAGGAGTGAAGCCTTGGACTCCCAGGTCGCTGGGTTGTGACTCTATGTGGGGGCGTGGTCAGAGCGGGGAAATGGCGGCCCCCTCTGCTGTTTTGCACCGCTGGGTAGGAGCAGAGCCTCAGGTGGTTCACCAGGGCCGGGCCAGTCAGAGTCGCTGGGTTATGACGCTGTATGTGGAGGTGGGGTCAGAGCAGGGAAATGGCGGCGCCCTCTGCTGCCTCTTGCTGTGGGGACCCGCTGGGTCTGGGTCCCCGTCCAATCGCCCACTCCCTCGCTTGTCTATCCGCGCACAAATGCGCGACCACAGTCAACCCGCAGCCCTGCTCCCTCGCTGTTTCCCCGCGATTGCTTGCTGAGTTGCCCACCAGGTCCAACCCTGCGCCTGGATTCCGCACGCCCGAGTCCGTCTGACCGAGTTTTCCTGTACAACCCCACTCCGCCAGGTGCTGGTTTCGCCCCTTACCGGTCAGGCTGAAGAATTTGTTGTTAACAGACTTCCGAAAAGTTCAATTTTCTGTATTCTGGCTGTGTTTTCTGTTGCTAATATTTAGTTGTCTCTGAACTTGGTTGTGTGAGAAGGCACGGCGTCTCCACCTATGCTTCCATCTTGGCGGAAGTCCTAGGATTTCTATCTAAACACAAAGGGGAGAGTAAGAAAGCAAACAAATACTCACAGCCGAAGCTCCTCAAAGGACTTCACCGAGTAGAGCGGGGAGTTTGGGTCCCGCTGCAGGACTTCCACTTGGTTTCTGTTGTCGACCAGGTTGTTTCTGATCAGCTTGTTGAGTAAGGACTGGGCAGCTCTGTCCTCTGTCAGGAAGAAAGAAAGCAAAGAATTTAAAAAATCTATGAAATCCACCATACGCTCGTCTAAATTTAATTGTCATTGGTACTTTAAGCAGTAATATTTGTACTAGGACTTCTAATTCAAGGTGTATCATAGTACTGATTTATAAATGTAATTAATTTGCTTATTAAAGAGAAAGGTTATGGCCCTAGTTGCTGTGGCTCAGTGGACTGAGTGCCGGCCTGCAAACCAAAAGGTTGCTGGTTTTATTCCCAGTCAGGGTACGTGCCTGGGTTGCAGGCCAGGTCTCCAGTAGGGGGCATGTGAGAGACAACCGACAGAGGTATCTCTCACACACATTGATGTTTCTGTCCACCTCCCTTTCTCTCTCTCCTCCCCTCTATAAAAATAATTAAATAAAATATTTTTTAAAAAGAGAAAGGTTATGATACTCATGTCATCCATTTGTGTCTCATATTCTTCTTAGAACTCTGTTCCTAATTAGGAATAGAACTCTAGTCCTTTCCTGAAATTATCTGTTCCTCTAGACCCAAATATTTGCTCACCAATTTGGACTTAATATAAACTTAAAATGGTTAACCTAACAAAAATATCATAACAATGAAAAAACACAGAAATCAAGTCTGTCTTGCATCATATAAGCTGTTTGCATCTTGTTACCCATGTTAAATGTAACGAAATATCATTAAGTTTAATTTACTAGACAATGGGGATGCAACTTACAATTTCTTTTATAATGCCCTATAAAAAATAATCATTCAGGGAATATTTCCTGCTGCTGCTGAAGTTTATCAGTTGTTCAAAGTAAAATTTCTTTAAAATGTAAACAATTAGAATTCTTTCACCAATGATCATGTTGAACTTTTATTAGCGCTGTGATCCCCATTAAAGTCAAGCCAAGTTAGGTGTAAAAATGAAGCCTCTTAAAAATTCATTCTCAGCCCTGGCTGGTGTGGCTCAGTGAATTGAGCGCCATCCTTTAGACTGAAGGGTCGTTGGTTCAATCCCCAGTTGGGGCACATGCCTGGGTTGTAGGCCAGGTCCCTGGTTGGGGGCATGTGAGAGGCAACCAACTGATTTTTCTCTTGTGTGTTGATGTTTCTTTCCTGAATTGACGTATCACTCCCTTTCTCTCCACCCCCCTCTGAAAATAAATAAATGAAATCTTTTTTAAAAATCCAGTCTCTTAGACTGTAGAACCTTGGTAGTATTGCTAGCTGTCAGGCTGTGTTACCTTTCTCTTCTTCATCTGTCTTCTCTGCATTAGTATTGGTCTTGACAACAGCACCTTTATCAGACACAAAGTGGCTGTCATTCAAAATCAAATCCCATACCCAACAGCTGAGACAATGCAAATTCTACAACACTAGAAATGTAAGCCTGAGAAGCAAAAAACAAACAAACAAACAATGAGGAAGCCACGCCATATATAAAAACATATTATTGTTCCTAAATAAAGGAATGATACAATATAGCTTATATTTTAATACTTCCCTATTCTGAGTCCTCTTTGCATACTTCAAAATGTTAACTTCCCTCATAGCATTAATATTTATGAAATGTTATATAAAGATGATTACAGAAATCAATGATCAGAAATCACCTTAATGCTCAACAGAGGAATACCTGTGCAAATTAAACTTCATCAATATATGAATACAACTCTGTCATTAAGAGTCTATGTATATAATTAATAGAAATGTATATTCAAACAATGTTGTAGTTATGTAAAAATATACAAAACACAAATTGTAAGTGAATTCAGTGAGGTAAATGTTACAATTTCCCTCCTATATTATAAACAAAAATTCAAGAGACATCTTAGATTTCTGGTAAATGATTTCAGAATAATTACAATAGGTTAACTCTCAGGTTACTCATACTTTGTCTAGTTCATCTCAAATTCAGGAATATTTGTAAAAACAAGAAATAATCTTTGGCATTATAGTTTCATGGTTAGTAATACATTTAATAATATATAAGTCAGGTAGCCAACCTCATGCTTATATTACTCACAATTAAAACAAAACAGCCCAGTTTAGTGATCTCCAAGTCAAATAACTGCTAACATTTGCCAGCCCCTGTCTGGTTCCATATATAATATTTTTCCAGACAGTTATGTCAGAAGAGATACTGAAGTAAATCACATTTGTTTTTAAATTAGTTTTTGGTTACTCACCATTGGCATCTGGTTTGATTTTCTCTTCCTTAAGATGCAAGTTGCTCAACTAAATAGAGAATATGGGGCGGGGGAGAGTGTCAGAAAAATAACTTAAAAGATTTTGAATCAACAGAGCTTCCCCAGTGATGCTGGGGAGACATGAGCCGCTCAAGACCTATTCATTAGATTGTTCTGCAGGGCTCTTTTTGTAATCCCTAATTACAACCCCTAGAGAGAATTATAATTTATGAGTTTGTCTAATTCTCTGACACCAGGACCTCTCAATAGAATATCATTTGAGTTGCCATGCTCTCATATTCCAAACAAGAGGAAGTTTAAAGAGATCACGGAAAATGTGTCTGTGAGTGGGATGTTGCAGCATACGTTGGAGCCACAGGACCACAGACGTGCAGCCTCACTCACACTGAGGCCACCTTGTGCTGGAGATCTGGTATTTTAAACGAGGAGCAGCTTGCAGGGTCGTGGCACAATGTGCAATCAAAATACCCAGCAGGCTGAGTGGGAATAAGTAGGAAGGGACAGAGTGAAGAGACATTTCCAAAAAAGAATTGTCAAAGATTTGGATCAAACACTGTAAATTAAAGATATCCTGCCCTGGCTGGTGTAGCTTAGTGGATTGAGTGTGGGCTTGTGAGCCAGAGGATTGTGGTTCAATTCCCAGTCAGGGCACATGCCTGGGTTGCAGGCCAGTTCCCAGCAAGGGATGCACGAGAGGCAACCACACATTGATATCTCTCCCTCCTTCCCTTTCCCTCTAAAGATAAATAAATAAAAATCTTTAAAAAAATAAAAAGATATCCTGCCAGGACTTATCTCCCCTAGTAGAATGAAAATACTCTTTTAGTTCTCAATCATACCTCATTAAGCTGACACAAAAAAGAAAATATTTTAAAGACAGGAGATATTTTTATTTTTAGTTGATCTTTGGATGTAGCATAAAGCAGGTGCTATAATCTTTAACGTAATAAGTGATGCCAGTGACAATTCAGTGCAGGGTAAAAGTCACAACGGGTTTTTTTTTTTTAATATTTTATTTATTTATTTATTTTTAGAGAGGGGAAAGGAAGGCGAAAGAGAGGGAGAGAAACATCAGTGTGTGGTTGCCTCTCATGCACCCCCTACCAGTTGTGGGGGGATCTGGCCCACAACCCAGGCATGTGCCCTGACTGGGGATTGAACTGGCAACCCTTTGGTTCACAGGCCCGCGCTCAATCCACTGAGTCACACTAACCAGGGGAAAAAAAGGGGGGGGGTGTATTTCTTACAACACCCACTCACACAGGTTCTTTATAGCTTGAGGTTCATTTCTGTCTTTTGTCTAAGTTCAAGAATGGGGAAAGACGAAGGAGAAATTGAAAAGTTGTCTGGTTTTTAAAATTATTTATTTATTTATTTCTAGGGAGGGAGGGAGAAAGAGTAGGAAAGAAATATCAATTGGTTGCCTATCGATATATGCCTCAACCAGGGACTGAGCCTGCAATCCAGGCATATGCCCTGACCAGGAATCAAACCCACGACCTTCCACTTTGCGGGATGATGCCCAACCAGTTGAGTTACACTAGTCAGGGCAAACGTTTGTTTGAATGGTTGGTTAATTAGAATGGAGGAACTTCTACTTACAGAAACTGAAAAGGGTGTTTCTGGTGTCTTTGCTTTGGTGTTTGGGGGAAGGGGAGGACACACCGGAAAGACTGGCAAAAAAGGAAAATGGCAAAAAAAAAACCCATCAGAAAGCAGTAAAAATCTTCATTAATTCTGAAGAGTAGATAGCACCCTAACAGATAATGAATATGAAGCAAACAGCACAGTGCATGGTGTGTAAGTACGTTAGGTGTTCAGTATCGTTTAATCTTCACTAAAGCATCCCTCCTCCACATCCTGCCAGTAGTAGTCAGGGCTGTTACAAAAGAGACAGACTGACTGATTTATTGGCAATATTTACAAGAGTAAGGTTAATAGCACTCACTCCTAGGGTGATAAATGCTGCTTAAAATAAATTATTAGGGCTGAGGTCTAAATAAGTTGATGTATAGAACACTTAGAAATATCCATTACTGTAAAGTATTTTATTTCTTTTTAATTTAAAAAAAAATTTTAGATTTTATTTATTTATCTTTTAGAGAGGAAGGAGAGAAGGAGAGAAATATCAATGTATGGTTGCCTCTCGTGAGTCCCCTGCTGGGAACTGTCCTGCAACCCAGGCGTGTGCCCAGACTGGGAAACAAACCGCGATTGTCTGGTTCACAGGCCCACACTCAATCCACTGAGCTACACCAGCCAGGGCATAAAGTATTTTAATATTCAATGGCAAGAAGACAAACCATTCTTTTGTTGATATTGTTCAAATTGAAGTTAAGAGTAAATAGTTACATAACTAAAACACAATGTGTAGGAAAAGTTGGTAGCAACAATGTAAATGAAACAAATAGATGTTGTTTTAATACAGTGTATCAGAATTCTGAGAGGTTCTAGCAGAATCTATAAAACAAACTCAGCCTTCATTTGGCTGTAAGATCTCCTGTAAGGCAAAAGCAACATGGAAGTAAAGTTTGTATTATCCACTGCACAGTGTGAGTGGACCAAACACTGAAACTTACGTTGAAAGCAGTTAGTTCGGACACCTCACTCTGCTCTATTTATTTGGACCAAAAATGAAAAACAGCAAAAACACCCACCCTTTAATATCCACATTTTTCAATGCCTTTAATAGTTTAGTTTTAAAGATACATTAAGATAATTGAAAACTATAGTTACACACTGTATTATATTCAAAAGCTACCTGAGATTCTTAATAAAAAGGAAGATTTCATGGTAAGTGAACTATAGTGATTAGGGCCATAGGCAGAATGGTGAAGTGGGAGTCTTACTCATCAAAGAAATGAAACTTAATGGATATTTAAAATACAGTAACCCAGCACTGTGTATGTGCGAGTCCCCTACGTCATGCAGTGCCTGTGGGGGTCCTCAGAGAGAGTTCCATAAAGGCAGAGGCTGGCAGGGGTGTTTTTACTCACTTGTTCAGTTTTAGAATATTGTGATGTTGTAATTTACCTGTGAATGGTTAGCAGATTCATAAATCTTATTGTCAACTAATCCATAAAGTACAGACAAGTCATTTAAGATTCCTACAAAGAAACTGTGAATTACAGTTAATAACAATAATAATAGCTATCACTTATATAGCCCTTTATCAGTTGTGTCTATAACTGAATGATGTAGGTACTATGATTATCCCCATTTACAAATGTGGAAACTGAGGCACAGAAAAGTTAAGCAGTTTGCTCAAGGACATACAGCTAGTAAGTGAGGGACCCAGAATACCCATCCAGGTCTGTTTAGATACAAAATCTGAGGTCTTAATCTCTGCACAAAAGTGCACCTCACAGACAGTAGTAACCTCAAAGAAAATAATAATATGAAAAAAATAATAATAATGTGAGAGTGATACAGTGGTGTAGCTGCTTTGGAAAACAGCCTGGCAGTTCCTTAAAAATTAAACACACAGTTACTATATAACCCAGCAATGCCACATCTAGATATATATACCCAAGAGAATTGAAAATACTGTTATGGTCACACAAAAACTTGCACATGAAATGATCATAGCAACATTATTCATAATAGCCAAAAGGCAGAAAGAATCCAAATGACCGTCAGTAGGTATGATGAGTGGAAAAACAAATCGGTATATCTATACCCAGGAATATTATGACAATAAAAAGGAATGCATACTGAGTACCCACTGCAACATGAATGAACCTCGACAACATTATACTAAGTGAAAGAAGCTAGACACGAAAGACCACAAACGTATGGTTCCATTTATATGACATGTCCAGAATAGGCAAACCTAAACAGACAGAAAGTAGATTACTGGTTGTATAGGGCTGAGAGGTTGAGGGAGATAGGGAGTGATCGCTAAGGCATACAGAGTCTCCTTCTGGGGTGACAAAAAGGTCTACAGTTGTGGTAATGGCTGCACAAGTCTGTGGATATAATAAAAACCAGAGAACTATGTGTTTAAATGGATAAAATATATGATATGTAAATACCTCAATAAAGCTTTTAATTAAAAAAAGATAACAGGGTAAAATCCCACCATGATATTCTAAAAATAGGGTGCCAAGATTCAGCTTTGTAAAATTCGGGGTTTTGTTGTTGTAAGGTAGATAAAATGGCTAGCACAGATCTGCCAGAAATGACAGGAGCTAATCGTATTACGTCTGAATGTTCATCATCTCAGGGTGAATTATGAGTTTCCATTCTATCTTAAATATAATTCTAACAATGCAAAAGCAAATAAGAAAATGACAAAGCTACCAACTCCTAATGAACTCTTCTAGGCATATTAATGAGTTAAGAGAATGACAATCAAATCTGACCTAACGAAGTTAGTGAAAAAAAAAATCATCAAAACTATTTGAAATATATATTCATATTTACAGTGACTATTAAGGTTTTTTCTAAGTGTATATTGTACCTTGAGATATTAAAGTATAAAGCCAGCAAAAGGAAGCACAGGAAAACATTTTAAAACATTGTTTATTTTATCTTTATCTCAGCTTTTATTACTTTTGTGTGTTTTGTAATGTATATAATGTATTTAGCAAAATAGTATACTATGCGGTTTCTAAATAGAGATGTACATATTCAGAACACACGCCCAAAAGTTTCTGACACTGCCAGGTAACGGGAAAACAGACCAGACAGCTCAGTCACTCGACAGTGCCCACTAGGCTCTGCACGAGAAACACTGCGATGAGTGAGCTAAGGGCCACAGCGGAGGACGTGGGTGCCTGGATGCAAATGGGAGCACTGAGTGAAACCAGGTACACGGAGTCCTGAGACCGCCCCCCACTCCTGTCCCTGACACCGACACTGACTCAGACCCCTGCCCTTCCAGCAGGGAATGTGAGGACCGCTCTCTGCCAGCCCACTTTAGTGTTCTGAAAACACTACAGAGATAGAGGTCAGAATCGGTAAGGCCCAGTCACGTATTTAGAGTTTTCACTTCTTTTTTTAGACACCCACTCTTAAATATGAGTAGATAAGAATTACAGACATCTGAAAAGTCTCTGTCATGGAAAAAAATAGTGAAACAAACAGATAAAAGCACCAAAGGAAAACTAATATTAATATCCTCAAAAATATGAGAGGATATTATGGCCATGAAAGCAGCACAAGATACTGTTTATGAAAAGGAACACTGCCCTGACTGTTGTGGCTCAGTTGGTAGGAGCACATCATCCCATAAACCAAAAGGTCCCAGGTTCAATTCTGGTCAACACATGCCTACATTGTGGGTTCGGTCCCACTGATGTTTCTCTATCTTTCTCCCTCTCTTCCCCTCTCTCTAAAACTGATAAGCATATTCTTGGGTAAGGATTTTTTTTAAAAAAAGGGAAGAGTAAGGAGGGAAAAGTTAGCTTTTGTAATTAAAAATGTGACAGTAGAAATGAAACACAAAATAGGTCAGAAAGCAGTTCAGAAAAATCTCCCAGGAAATATGACAAAAAAGACAAAGATGGAAAATAGAAGAAAAAAGATAAAGAACTCTCTTCAACAAATGACACTGGAACACATATGCGAAAAAAATGAACCTTGATCCATACTTCCTACTACATAAAAAATTAATTCAAATGGATCATAGGCATAAATGTAAATTTTAAATCTCTGAATCTTTATTAAGAAAAAAACAGGTCAAAAGCTTGTGGCCTTGGGCAAGGTATATTTCTTAGAACACAAAAAGTACTAATCATTAAAAAATTGACTAGTTAGAATGAATCAAAATTGAAAATGTCCACTCTTTGAAAAGTACTGTTAAGAAAACAAAAGGGCAAGTTGCAGTCTGGAAGAATATACGGTAGCCCTCCTTATCCACAGTTTTGCTTTCCATGGATTCAGTTACCCATAGTCAACTGTGCTCTGAACATATTAAATGGAAAGTTACCGAAATAAACACATTGTAAGTTTTGAACTGTGCCATTCTGAGTAGCACGATGAAATCTTGTAACACCCTGCTCTGTCCCTAGAAACATCCCTCTGTCCAGTGTGTATACACAGCACAATAAGATATTTTGAGAAAGAGGTTCACATACCTTTTCTTACAATTAGTGTTATAATTGTTCTACTTTATTATTAGTTATTGTTGCTAATCTCTTACTGTGCCTCACATAAATTAAACTTCATCATAGGTACGTATGTATTGGAAAAAACAGTGCACCAGGTTTGGTACTGTCTGTGGTTTCAGGCGAAGACACTGGGGTCTTAGTAAGTGGTCCCCTCGGATAAGGGGGAGCTACTGTATATGCAAAGTACAAGTCTATTAAAGGCAAACTCTCCCAACTCAATAATAAGAAAACAATCTGATTTTTTAAATGGACAAAAGATTTGAAAAGTCACTTCAAAGAAATTAATATGGATGGCAAATAAGCACATGACAATATTCCAAACATTATTAGTCATTAGGGAAAACTTAAATTAAAATCATAGTGAGATACCATAGTACACCTATTAGAACAGAGAAAAAACTGGTTATGCTGTGCTGGTGAGGGTGTGGAGTAACCACAGTTCCAATTCATCACTGATGAGAATGCAAAATGGTACAGCCACTTTGGAAAACAGTTTGGCATGTACTAATTTACAAAGTCAATAATACTTTTAACATATAACCCAACAAATCCCATTATTAGGTATTTATCCACGAGACATGTAAGCATAAGTCCATACAATTATCTGTATCCTAATGTAGACAGTAGCTTTATTCAGAATCGCCAAAACCCGGAAAACACCCAAATATCCATTTATAGAAGACTAAGTAAACTGTTGTGCATTCATACAATGGAATATTACTCAGCAATAAAAAGGAGCAAAATACTGATACATGAAACAACATGGTTGAGTCCAAAATGCATTTGCTAAGTGAAAGAAACCAGATTTTCCAAAAGGTCACATATTGTATGATTCCATTTATATGATGTTTGGAAAAGGTAAAACTATCATGACAGAAAACGAATGAGTAGTTACCAGAGGAGGATAGGGAGGAGGGACTAAATGTAAAAAGTCTGAGGGAACTTTTTGGGGGTGATGGAAATGTTACATATTTTGACTCTGGTGGTGATTATACAACTGGATGCCTTTGTCAAAATTCGCAGAATAAGGGTAAGTTTTATCATATATAGAGTATACCTCAATAAACTTAACTTAAAAAAAATCAGAGGGCCAGTCCAAGAGATCCACCATTCAACTAAAAAGAATTCTTAAAGGGAATAAAGAAAAAACAAAGGGGAGAAATCAACAATGAAAGTTTTCAAGAATATTTCCCATAACTGAAGGACAAGAATTTGCCAAATTGAAAGGGACCCACCCAGTACCCAGTAAAATGGATGAAAATAGAGCCATACCAACGCATATTATAATGAATTTTCTAATACTGGAGATAAACAAGACTCTTTGAGCTCAGAAAGGGAAAAACAGGTCACATCAGGAATCATAGTCAGCTGTTTGCCACATCTCAACAACAAATACAGAAATCTAAAAGGCAAGAGGAAAAAATGCCTTTAAAATTGGGCAGGAAAATAATTTCCAACCCCAATTCTACATCTAGCCATAGTGTCAATCAAATGATAGGGCAAAATAATATATTTTTAATGCAGTTTTAAAAATGTACTTCCCATATACTTCCAGAAAGCTGATGGATAGCTCCACTAAATCAAGAAAGATGGAGTGGAGATACAGAAAGGACAGGATTCCCAGTAGTGCTCTGAACACAGGGGAACGAGTCTAGTATGAAGCAGGCGAAAGACCTGGGAAAAATGGAATTCATAAATTACTTGATGTGTCTGCACATCCTGAGATAAATTTAGACAACTAGCAAAGAACTCAGGGTTGAACTGAAGTACAAAGAATATAAAGCAAAAACACAAAGCAATTATAAATGCCAAGGAAAAATAAAAACTGTTATAGTTAAGTAAAACTGTTCATGTTACTAATATAAACTTGAAGTACTGATGAACTAACTAACTGAAAATCACAATGTAATAATGAAAAGGTAGGGAATGACAAGGTGTACATGTGGTAAGGAGAGGGGAAGATGGAGGAAAGAGTCAAAATCAATAAATACTTAAAAACTGCAAATTCAAGAAGTAGCAAAGCAAGCATGTTATTTAGGGAATAAGGAAGTCAATATGGTAAATCAAGTTTTGGTTTTTTTTTAAATATTTTATTTATTTATTTTTCGAGAGAGGGGAAGGGAAGGAGAAAGAGTGGGAGAGAAACACCAATGTATGGTTGCCTCTCATGCATCCCCTGCTGGGAACTGGCCTGCGACCCAGGCATGTGCCCTGACTGGGAATTGAACCTCGATACTCTGGTTCGCAGGCCCGCGCTCAATCCACTGAGCTTTGCCAGCCAGGGCTAAATCAAGTTTTTTTAAAAAAGATTTTATTTGTTTTTAGAGAGAGGGGGAGGGAGGGAGGAACAGAGGGAAACATCAATGTGTGGTTGCCTCTTGTGCACCCCTACTGGGGACCTGGTCCGGAGCCCAAGAAATGTGTCGGGACTAGGAAACCAACCCGGGACCCTTTGGTTAGCAGGCCAGCACTCAATTCACTGAGCCACAGCAGCCAAGGTCTTATTTATTTTTTAATTTTTTATTTATTTGTCTTTTAGAGAGAGGGGAGTGAGGGAGAAAGAGAGGGAAAGAAACATTAATATACATCCGCAGGTTGCTTCCTGCACACCCCCAGCCGGGGACCTGGCCCACACCCAGGCATGTGCCCTGACCTTTGGTTCTCACGCCAGCATTCAGTCCAGTGAGCCACACCAGCCAGGACTAAATCAGTTTCAAGAGAAAGAATCTCTGGGGAGGAAAAAAATGGTTGTGGTAGGAACCAGAGTTAAAAATTGACTCTTTGAATTATTTGTGTTATTACTTAGTTATAAAAAATAAGACAAAGCCCCTGTTCTCGAATTCACAGAAATAAGTACTGACAGAAAGAAGCAGGTTCAAAGCGGTATCAGAACTTAAGAGTGTTTAGGTGAGAGGAATTAATTCTATGCATAATAATGTTTAACACGTATCTTGCTTACTGGGTGTCAGGCCCAGACCGAAGTTAAAACAGGTCCGGAGAGGATTTACTGACTTGACTGCCAGGCCTATTGGGTGGCTCATTCATCATCATGTAAGGAAGCTGAGGAAGCATACAGATATGAGTAACCCATGGTCCTTAAGCCCAAGAAGCTCAAAATCGGAGAGTGGAAAAATGTCACCTACAAAACTGATCCACTCCAGGGTACATGAGTGCAATCTACGATCAAACCGGATTCCGGGAACACAGGCAGGTGGCCGGGCTCTTCATAGATGGGAACCCTCACCTGTGCTTACGTAACACGGGAGGTGGGTGAGTAAACAAAGCCAGCTCAGGGTCCAGGCTCCATCCCCGCCCGCATCTCAACCGTCCGGACCAATGCAGGGAGTGTTCATTCCCAGGGATCTGATTCAGGGCCAAAACTGACCCTCTGAGCCTTTTAAGGCTGAAACCAACTCACCGACTCGGCCGCCGCTTCCTGCTCATCCACCGCCAGGGCCCACGAGTCAGTGGCCATGGTCCCGGGGGCGGGTGGGGTGCTGGTGCTGGTGTGCTCGCTGGCTGACGCCGCGCGATTGTGGGCTCCCGGGGATCGTCGTGAGCCCCGGTCCGGCCCCACGGAGGGGTAAGTCATTCGCTCCGGCACCGGGGGACCGGAAACGGCGCACGGCAGTGACGTAGCCCCCCCCCCCCCCCCCCGCGTCGTCCTGGACACCATGGGGCTGAGCCTTCTGTCGCCTTCAAATCCCTTCACCCCTGCTTAATTCACTCTTTCTCTTGTAACTTCCAGAACCGCAGACTGAGGTAGTTATCTCAAAGTGTCTAAGTTTTGTCAACTGGCTCTCCAACCGCAGAGCAAAACCGTAAACCCGCCCAAGACAGTGGGCCAGAAGCAGTTCATACAGATTGAAGATAATGAAACACAAAACCATTACAGATAGTCATCAAAATGCATATTGAAACAAGCAGATCTTTTTTCTCACTCTTCAGGTTGGTAATTTCACATGCCCAGGTATAGGCCAGGGTGTTGGGAATCAGCCCTCTTAAACTCCGTTTGGTTGAAAATTTGTCCTACAGACTACGTGGCAACACCACTTAGAGGAGTTTCACCTTGAAAAATACTCAAGGGAAGTGCTAGGGAAATGGGTTCCAGATAGAGGATCGGAGACAGGAAAGAGCAAGGGTGTTTGTGGAGCTGAACATACACAGACCTTCTGTGGGGATGGATGAGAGCCAGGGAAGAAGAGGTTGGTAAGACGTGGATGAAAGGTGCAGAAGAGTTTTCACTCCTGAGAACCTCTCCCATCTGGCATGACTTGAAGTTAACTGTGCCTAGGTTAGAGTCCCAGCTTTCCCACGTAAGGATTTTGACTGGGAGAATTTTTTAAAAGGCAAAAATACTTTGTGCTTTTAGAAAAATAATGTTTAAGTGTGACAGATGCTTTCTGCTTACTAGAGTCATAAAAACTTCTCTTTACTTCACAGAAAGAAGCTGGGCATTTTCCTGCAACCTGAGAAAATGAATCCCCACTTCTCCCACTTTGCCAATATTCCACTACAATAAATTAATTTCAAGCAATAGTGGTCTCTGTGGGGAATTTTACCTGGAGAATATGAGTTAAAATGTTTGGGAAATGATAAAGCAGTTTTCAGCAATCCTTTACTTGTCACGATTCTTTTCCTCCTGCACCCTTTAGAGGGTTAATTGGGGGGGAAATTGGGGGTTCTACAGATGAGGATGTACAGAAAGAAAAAAGGCAGACACACAGCCTGGGAAGCCATGGCCTACATCTCATCATGTCAGAAGCAACCCTGGGAATATTTTTCAGAGGAATATTGATCACAGGGTTAACGGAGTCTAAGGAATTTTTTTTTTAAAGTTTAATGCCCTGGTTGATGTGGCTCAGTGGATTGAGTGCCAGCCTACGAACCAATGGGTCACGGGTTCAATTCCCAGTCAGGGCACATGCCTGGGTTGCTGGCTGGGCCCCCAGTTAGGGGCCTGCAAAAGACAACCTGTTGATGTATCTTTCTCACATTGATGTCTCCCTCCCTCTTTCTCCCTCCCTAACTCCTCTCTAAAAATAAATAAAAACCTTTAAAGAATTTAATGAGGTTAAAAATTAAGTCATCTAAGGTGCTGACTGTAATAGGATACACTTCTGCAAAAAACCCAAAACAAAACAAACTTGCATATTTGCTAATACCTAGTATACAAAATATTTAAGATACAAAACTATTAGGAGTGGCTGCTTCTAGTAGGGACTCTAGAAACCTGGGGTGGGAGAGATTTCCTTTTCCTTATGTTACACTTGAGCTTCTGAAATTTATTTTCCATGTGCATGGTTTCCTTTTAAAATTGTGAGTATTTCAGACAGACAAGAAAGGGAATAATATAACAAACATCCAGGTTCCCACTTCAAGGCTTACAAAATAAAACAAGACTCGATTGAAGTCCCCTGTGTATAGCCATCCCAAGAGACCGCAGCTCTCCTGAACTGGGTGCTCATCCTTCCCATAAATATTTTAGCATATGTTGCTTATTCTATTTAAAAAGAAAACTTAGCCCTGGCTGGTGTACCTCAGTGGACTGACCACTGGCCTGTGAACCAATTGGTAGCCGGTTTGATTCCCGGTCAGGGTACATGGCTGGGTTGAGGGACAGGTCTCTGGTTGGAGGCACATGAGAGGCAACCAATCGGTATTTCTCTCACTCTCTTTCTCCATTCCTTCCCCCATCTCCAAAAATAAATAATTTTTTAAAAAAAAACCTTAAAAATAAGCATCAGGATTCTAGACTTTGCTACTTCCATCCATTATACCTGCACAGTGTATAGACTCCCACTAAAGGGAAATCTGGTCCCCAAGCTGTAGTATGGAGGCAGGACTCGGGAATAAAGAGCATCAGATTTGAATTCAGCCTCCCTCAGATAATCCCACATGACTTTAGGCAGTTTCTTCGCCTCAGAAATCATAGGAAGTACCCATCTCACAGTCCGCGGATTCAACGAGATCACAAGGTTGTGGCCATCCGTCCAGTGCCTGGCGAAGGCTCGATAAATATTAGCAATTATTATAGTGGTGATGCCAGAAAGACACCCAAAGGTGGGGAAAAAAATTCGCGTTTCTACCCTCGGAGATACTCACGGCGCCCACGGGCAGGGAAGCCGAAAGCACCCCAGGACACGACTTTGGCCTCCGCTGCCAGCAGCCCCAGCCATTACCAGGCAGCATGGCGGTTACCTCCATCAACGGCCTCCGGACCCTCATTGGCTGAGGCGTGGGAGCCAATCAGCGCACCCAGGTACCGTGGGGCAAAGCGAACAGGCTCCAGCAGGGGCACCGTTGTGTCACTTTCTGCTTGATAAATCGCTGTCCGGCTAGACTGGGCACTCCCTGAGGGCAGGGCAGTATCTGCTTTCCTTAATGTTGATCTTTAGGTACTAACACATGATAGAAACTCTTTTGACAAATAGATTAGGAACACCCACCCCCTGGGTAGATCAAACTTTTTCGTCTTTGTCTCTGAACAAAAAGGTGAAAAATTTCATTCTGGAGTTTAGGCCCTCGCTATTCCAAGTGTGACCCCCCACCCCCACCCCAGAAGCATAGGTATCCCCTGGGAGCCTATTAGAAATATAGAATCTCAGGCCCACTTCAGACCTACTAAATCAGGATCTACATTTTAAGATTCCAGCTGATGCCTATAGCATCTTATGGCCTGAAAACAACTATTCAGTCACTCCCATTTGATCTGATAGCAAATAAATGGACATTCTAAGTCTACTTTATAGATGCTAATCGTAACTTAGATGCCATGGGAGAGTCAGAATCCAGGACTAGTCTTTACAAAACCAAGTATTTTACTCGAACTGTCTCAAGCCCCTGTCTTCCTCATGCGCCAAGACGAGGGTCCACCAATGTTCTGCTGCAGAGTGAGCCACAAGTAGAGACAGCTCTCACTCTCACCAGTAGGCCTATTTGCTCAGCCCAGAATAAGAAGTTTCCTAAAACACACACATCGTATTGAGGTAGCTTTCCTTCTATTAGGTAGTTGCCATCTACAAGAGAAAAAAGTATCATAGAGAGCTGGGTAATTATCTGAATAATTCATGTACAAATTCATGTCTAGAAGAATGTGACTTTTGGGCCTCAGTTGCAATTCCTCCTTGTTGCCACTGGATGTGATGTGTGGAGCAGGTCCCTAAGGGAGAGTCAGATTCTTGGCCAGGAGGTTTCTTTGCTTTGAGCAGGAGAGAATTCAAGAAGCAGCCAGACAAGAGGTTAGAGCAGAAGCAAGTTCATTGCGCAGAGAAGATAAGCAAGGAAAGCCACTGGGAAAGAGTAGTGGATGCTTCTCACAAGAGAAGGGAGACCCCAGCTGTCTCTAGAGGTTGAGCTTATATTGGTTTGTAGTTTCTATGGAAAATTGCTGGTATGGGGAAACAGAGTGGGGAAAAAAGTTGGGATTAACTTTAACCTTTATAAGGTATATTTTTTTATCCTTGCGTTTTCCTTTTATGTTATGGGTGAGTAGCTATTAATCAATCTTTGCAGGAATCTTCTTTGTTATGGGGGCTCCTTGTGATCTGCTCGCCTTGCGGGTCAGCCACGTTCCATGTCGGGCAGCCCGTAGCAGGCCCGTCTTAACTTTGTTTGACTTTAATTAATTTACATAGTTCTCATGCCCCTCTCCTATATTAGATGAATAAGAACATTTTTTTAAAAACCTGTCTCTAATTTTTTCATCAGTGAAGGTGCTACCTTAACAATAACTACTCTGGCAACATAACAAAGTTATGGAGGCAACAGCCTATATTACCTTATTTCGAAAGTGCAATTTGTATAGTTTTGGTTTTCATATTAATTGTGGTGGCATGGAATTCTGACCTAGATCATTTAGGTTAAATATGCTTGATCTTTTTGGGCCATTTGGCTCAGGACAAACACTTGTTTCTCTTGGTTTTGCGCTTTGCTGCCTTATGCTCATAGTGCCTCAGTTTCCTGTTAGTATCAACTGTTAAAAGCAGATACTAATAGTAACTCATTAGATCAGTGCATGCTGCATACTATTACTCAACATATGTTAGATGTGATGATTATTATTGAGTTGCTATGAACTGGGAAGTTAAGGTGGTTTATTTTTACTTCCTTTTGAGCTTTAGCTATTTGTATAGGATGCTACTTTACATAAAAAAGTAAAAAAAATTCTTAATATCTTTAACCCTGTTATGAACAGTAGCACCATTTCATACCCAGGTATTTCGATGTATCAGATGATGTAGCTTTTAGAGTATGGGTTTTGGAGTTAGATGTGGGTTTGGATCCTGGCTCTGCACCTTACTCTTCAATGTGAACTTGTACAAGGTAGTAACCTCATGGATAAAAAAGGGCATGCCAGTTGACCAGCCTCGTACAGTTTAAAAATCAAATAATCTCTGTGAAATTTTCAATATACCTCGCATATAAACATTAGCTATTGTTTCTCAAAGGCAAATAGATGGCCAGATGCCAAATTAATTGTCCTTCAGCAATTGAATTACTTCTACACTAAATCCAATAAGGTCTGACAAGGACAAGTGTATCCATGGGCTCATTATATCAGAATATTTCAGGTCTGCATATCATCCTGTAATTAAAATAAACAGAACTGTACAC